AATTTTATATTAGGATTTAATCAAGGGATTCAATCTCCAACTCGGATATTTTCCATTATTTAATTTTATATTCTGAATTTTTACCATTAAAATGACCTAAAACTCCAAAAATCTCAAAGCTGAGTAAACAAATTTAAATAAAATACCAATATCAAAGCCGGGAGATATAAACGTTAATTTATACGTACCAAAAATAAATAAATTTTGCGTAGGGCAAATAAAATTATAATAATATAATATATTTGTTACTTGATTTATAAACAAGCACACAAAATTTGAGGAAAAAAGTAAGCGCACAAGAAAAGCTAAAATATGATAGAATGTTCCAATAATTTTATTATAAGCTAGTTGATACAATACACCAGATGTTAAGAAGCAGAGCTTCACCTAACATGTGACTTCTTTATTCAAACAACATTGCATATATAATCAAGACTACAAACGAAACAGAACCAAATCAGAATAAACTTCAAGTACCTTAAAACACAAGAACATTATATAACATCATCGAATGAGATAGGAGCTATAGCAGTTGACGCATATGCTTTCTCCTTCTCCAGCTGAGCTTCGAGATCTAAGCATTTTTGCTTCAAATCTTTCAACTCTTTCTCAATTTCTTGCCTTCGAGTCGCACTACCTTTCTCTTTCTCCGTAATTTCTAAAACTTGATCAAGTTTCTTCTTCAACCAATCCAACTTAAATCCAACATCAATCAAATATTCCAATGCAGCTAATGCCTCGTCCAGGTCATAAATGGAGAGCTCATTAGGCGGCTGGCGCAAAGTATCAATGAGACTGAGTAGCAAACTCATGTAACCTGTCCTAAGATTTGGGTTATTTGGACGGAATTTAGATGCAATCTCTGGGTGCTTTTCAAACATACGATTCACAAATTCCACCTGAGAATGAAAACGAAAGTATAGTAAAATCCATATTCAGATAACAGTTTTCCAAAACATCACAAAAGCACCATGTTATAGAATTAGAACACATCAATTATCTCTCGCTGTTGGACTTTTTTTTATGGGTGACCAAGAAGTCTTCGGACTATAACCTACTTGGGCCGGGGACCAAGTAAATTAGTCCATTTCCACCACCTATTATCGAACTTGTGACTTTAAATTTGTATAGTTGCTTAAATTTCTACACAAAATTATTAACACTCTTAATGTCTTACCTGTGAATGTAGAAGGTGAAACCCATTAATTTCTACTTTGCCAATAACTTCAAGAAGATCTATCTCGGCAACAATTTTGAGTTCCCCGTTTACTAGAAATCCTTTATCTTTGGCATGAAGTTCATTAAGGGGAATCATGGATGGTATACCCCAGTTGATAGATTTCTCATCAAACCAGTGTTGTAGTTCTGTAAAACCACAAAACAGGAATCATATAATAAAGAAAAGTTATAAACTATATATGCTTATGTTTATTGAACATCAATGTTCAAAAATTGGACTCAAACTTTAAAACTACCCGACTCAAACACCCTTGAGCAACATACAATTCCAGTCCAAGACGAGACTTAGAGGATGGGTGAATCCCAAAACTGAAAGATTCATAAAATTTGATCTATTGATGGAATAAATTATCTAGCATTGTTACCGTTCGATTGG